TACATGTAAAAAAAGTGGGATTTTTCTTACGTTTTAATCACACTGAACAAAAACAGAAACATTTTTTCTGACTGAGAGAAAAAGTTATAAATTAGATTTAACAAGACAATGAAATGCTGGAAGGATACTCAGAGAGGAAGAAGACATCACTCCAAAAGAAACATAAGAAAAAGCAGATTACAGTTTGTAAATGCAAACAGGGACAAAGAGCTTCATTAGTGGAGACATGTCCTGTGGTCTGATGGAACTAAACCTGAACTGTTTGGCCTTAATGACCATCGTTACATCTGGAGGAAGAAGGGGGAAGCTTGAAGCCTGAGAACACCATCCCAACTGTGAAGCACGGGGGTAGCAGCATCATGCTGTGGAGGGACTGGTGACCTTCACACAATAGATGGCATCATGAGGAAAGAACATTATGTGGAAATATTGAAGCAACATCTCAAGACATCAACCAGGAAGTTAAAGCTTTAAATGGGTCTTCAGATGGACAATGACCCTCAGCATAACGCCAGAGTTACAGAGAGGCTTCAAAGTCAGTGTTGTGGAGTGGCCATCACAAAGCCCTGATCTCAGTCCTGGAGAACATTAGTGGATCAAGGAGACCAACAAACCTGACTCAGTTCCACCAGTTCTGTCAGGAGGGATGGGCCAGAACTCATCAAACTATTGTGAGAAGCTTGTGGAAGGAAACCCAGAACGTTTGACCCAAGTCATAGAGTTTAAAGGCAACGCTAGCAGATACTGAGGAGATGTGTTTAAACTTTTGACTTTGAAGAAAGTTATAAAAAACTCTCTCTCATGATTCTGGTGTTTAGCAAATAGAAATAATGTTGGTCATCCTGACTGACCTGAAACAGGAAACGTTTAGTTTGATTTCAATTGTATTCTGGCTCCAATTCAAATTTCAATTTCAAGACACCAAATTCTTCCTCCGTAATCTGAATACCAACAAAACTACTTTGCCACTGTGAGAAAATGGGCTAAATTTTCAGACTAAAATACTGGAAAGGTGATTCATTTCACCACGGCCGTGTAGATGATTAATGAAGGATCTTATCTTCCATACATTTAAATGAATGTATTTACAGGTTGAAATGCTGTTGCTGTCACAAAACATCCAGTTCTTACATTAAATCAACCACTGGGGCACTTAAAACATGATTCATTAAAGAGTCTGAATCCTGTTCAAGCCGTTTAGGTTAAGTTTCGGTTACCTGAATCCAGTCTGCGTGGATGTAAAAAACATTTTGCTTTGATTTCAGATCCATCACGAAGGAGAAGCTGCCGAGGAGAAGAGGATCTGCCTGGAAACACTGGAGCACAGCAGTAGTTTAGNAATAAACAATGTAAAATGAGCAAAAACAAATAAAACAAATAAAAACAGACACGAAAGAAACAAAAACGAATGTAAAACGATGTCTGTAACCCTGTTTATATGCTGGAAGACACAATATGACAAATCACCATTGTGTAGCATAGATAAGACTTAGTGTTGGAGAGTCATAAGTGAGCTGGTGTGCTTGAGTAGACGTAATAATAATAACAATAATATTGTGGATGTAATGTCCACATCAAAAAAATCTGTATTTTTACAAATAATAATTAGGTTCTTCTACAATGTGTGATCATAAAATTTGTAAAAAATGAGTTTTATGTAGTTTTACTGTATTTAGCTATAACTGATTTTACAGGTATTTATATACATGTATGTACTTATATATATATTTTCATATTATTCTGCAAAAGTGACCGTAAAATTAAACTGCTTTACTTTATTTAAATCAGCTCAAAATCTCACTATTTTGCTGTGTTTGTTGTGAATCTGTGTTGTTGAGACTTTCATTGGTCATTGCTTCCAAAATTAAAAAACGAACAAACAAAAACAAAAACACACCATGTAGACATTCAGACGGGGTAAATACAGCCAGATGTTTACAGTGTTAGAACATCTTTATCAGGTTTAAACAATGACAAGCTCTTAGAATAGTGACGATACTCACAGAGGAAATCCTTCTTCTGCTCTTCAGTCAGCTCATCAAACACCTCCCAGAACATGCGTATGGTCGGGTGGTGGGCGTGGTAGTACAGGTCGTACACCGTGTTCTGGTTGAGGCAAACAGACTGTTTCAGGGGCTGATACCACAGAGACGTGGGTTTTCTCACACAGTGCCAGAAACAGCGAGACAAGTGGACCGTACCTGTTTGAACTTGGCCCAGTCGTACTGGTCTTTGCCCACCAGAACTCCCTGAAGCTCCTCCGGTCCAAACAGCTGCACCAGGTCCCGCTCGCACACCTGGAAGAAGCCTCGCTCGAACTCCTGAAAGGCGCTCTCCACCGATGTGTTGAAGGCGTGGTTGACGTAGGCGTCCACATACTCCCTCCTGTTCAGCAGATCACAGTTTAAATCAGCAGATGTTTGAGACGAGCTGCTGCTGATGCTGACGGCGGCACCGAGACGCCTCCAGGACGCCTCTGAAGGAGCTGCAGTGAGAACAAACGTCTACACACAGCTGTAGAGGACACGTATGACTCCTAGAACACTTTTCTACAATGGAATCATTCAAACACGTGAATCTTTGTCGCAAAAGAGATTTAGGCTTATTATAGGTTTTCTGGAAAACTGACCAAATGCACTGAGTCACAGATATACAAACAGAAGTGACAACACTGAGCTGGATGTCCTTCGTCCATTATCACCTCAATAAGATGCTTTTGGTGGCCGTCCACTAACTTCTGGTTGAATCTTTGACCCTCCTCTTGACAGAATTGGTGCAAATAAACGAACTATACTGGCTGTTTAACACAGACGTGTTTCTTCAACACAGTCCACATGTTCCTGATGAGGTTTAGGTCAGGACTTAGTGAGAAAAACCTAAAACCTTTTGTTGTGTGCTTGGGGTCATTGTCTGGTTGGAACATCTAACTGGGTCCAAGATCAACGTCCTGCCTGATGACTTTAGGTTTTTCTGAAGAATATTCTTCATTGTTCCATCTACTTTGTGTAAAGCTCCAGTTCCACTGGCAGCAGAACAGAACCAGAGCATGATGCTGCCACTTGTGGACAAATAGCTCAGTTTTTCTTCCATCTGACCAGAACTTTCCTCTAGGAGGCCTTCTCTTTGTCCATGTGATCAGCAGCAGACTTCAGTCAGGCTTTAAGGTTCTGGTTCTGGAGGAAGAACTTCCTTCTCAATGGCAGCCTCACAGCAGACCTGCTTTTAGGTGATTCTCGGTTGACCATCCTGACCAGAGGCGTC